AGACATAAATAGTTCAAGTTAGTTCAATAACTGACCAATAAAACTGCAGAAAATAAGGACTTTTAGGATTTTTAAATAGACCAATGTTCAAATATTGTGCAATGTACATTTCTAATTAAGAAGTTGATTTTCAAAATACTAGTTTAACAACCAAGATACCCTGAGTAGCAATTGAAGAACAAATCAAAGTGTTTAATTCTGACAATTTCTGTCATCGTGTAATCGTCTTCATAATATAGAAACTACAATTAAATATTATCAATTTTTAGATACAGGGTGTGCCAATAAACAAGGGAATTAAGTGAAGACTTTTTTATCGTATTCGTTCCATACTATAGGTATTGTATTTTGTTGTATCTCTAGGAATATGATTTTTGTCCCCTGTTGTACTATAGGTATTGTATCTTGTTGTATCTCTAGGAATATGATATAGTCCCCTGTTGTACTATAGGTATTGTGTCTTGTTGTATCTCTAGGAATATGATATAGTCCCTTGTTGTACTATAGGTATTGTGTCTTGTTGTATCTCTAGGAATATGATTTTAGTCCCCTGTTGTACTATAGGTATTGTGTCTTGTTGTATCTCTAGGAATATGATTTTAGTCCCCTGTTGTACTATAGGTAGTGTGTCTTGTTGTATCTCTAGGAATATGATTTTAGTCCCCTGGTTTACTATAGGTATTGTGTTTTGTTGTATCTCTAGGAATATGATTTTAGTCCCCTGGTTTACTATAGGTATTGTGTTTTGTTGTATCTCTAGGAATATGATTTTAGTCCCCTGATGTACTATAGGTATTGTGTCTTGTTGTATCTCTAGGAATATAATATAGTCCCCTGTTGTACTATAGGTAATGTATCTTGTTGTATCTCTAGGAATATGATATAGTCCCCTGTTGTACTATAGATATTGTGTCTTGTTGTATCTCTAGGAATATGATTTTAGTCCCTGTACTATAGGTATTGTGTCTTGTTGTATCTCTAGGAATATAATATAGTCCCCTGTTGTACTATAGGTAATGTATCTTGTTGTATCTCTAGGAATATGATATAGTCCCCTGTTGTACTATAGATATTGTGTCTTGTTGTATCTCTAGGAATATAAAATAGTCCCCTGTTGTACTATAGGTATTGTATCTTGTTGTATCTCTAGGAATATGAAATAGTCCCCTGCTGTACTATAGGTATTGTGTCTTGTTGTATCTCTAGGAATATGATTTTAGTCCCCTGATGTACTATAGGTATTGTGTCTTGTTGTATCTCTAGGAATATGATTTTAGTCCCCTGATGTACTATAGGTATTGTGTCTTGTTGTATCTCTAGGAATATAATATAGTCCCCTGTTGTACTATAGGTATTGTATCTTGTTGTATCTCTAGGAATATGAAATAGTCCCCTGCTGTACTATAGGTATTGTGTCTTGTTGTATCTCTAGGAATATGATTTTAGTCCCCTGTTGTACTATAGGTATTGTATCAATTGTTGTATCTCTAGGAATATGAAATAGTCCCCTGCTGTACTATAGGTATTGTGTCTTGTTGTATCTCTAGGAATATGAAATAGTCCCCTGCTGTACTATAGGTATTGTGTCTTGTTGTATCTCTAGGAATAGGAGTTTAGTCCCTTGTTGTACTATAGTTATTGTGTCTTGTTGTATCTCTAGGAATATGATATAGTCCCTTGTTGTACTATAGGTATTGTGTCTTGTTGTATCTCTAGGAATAGGAGTTTAGTCCCTTGTTGTACTATAGGTATTGTGTCTTGTTGTATCTCTAGGAATAGGAGTTTAGTCCCTTGTTGTACTATAGGTATTGTGTCTTGTTGTATCTCTAGGAATATGATATAGTCCCTTGTTGTACTATAGGTATTGTGTCTTGTTGTATCTCTAGGAATAGGAGTTTAGTCCCTTGTTGTACTATAGGTATTGTGTCTTGTTGTATCTCTAGGAATAGGAGTTTAGTCCCTTGTTGTACAATAGGTATTGTGTCTTGTTGTATCTCTAGGAATATGATTTGAAAATGTAAATGTCACTTGTCACACTAGACACTTGTCAGTTCCTTCCCAACATATAGTTACATCCTTCAAATTCCTTAAACCCAGATTTACATTTAACAAAAGTGTATTTAGAGGGACTGTAAACCTATTTCACTTGAATTATAAACGGTTAACCCTTAAAACCTTTATCTGATTAGGTATCAATAGATGTCCATGTTTTTCGTTGTAAAATTGAACATTTTTGCTTCTGCAATAACAGGTTTCGCAATTATACTTCAGAAACATGGATAAACTACAGTGGTAGGCAAATATATCAATGAAGACAACTTTCGATTTCAATTTTGATTTATATTAAGCTGTATTGAGCATGGATACACATAAACACATAAGTGCAAAGAATCTGTCAATTAAAAAGCTTGTCTTTGATTACTTGTAATTCAAAAACAAAGCATGTTAACAATCAAAACAATCAATTGTATTGATTTAATCTCCTGCAACTGTGTCAGAATCAAACCCGCTTTTAGATACATTTTCGAATTGAACTTCAGCAAAAGAACATTAAAATATTTTTACAAAGAAGGTATTTTTATTTCTGAAGAAATTTTTCCCATTTCAATTTTCCCCTTTTGCTTCAAATACGTTTGGTCAAAGCAAATATATTTTGATATAAACATCCCTCCGCCAAATGTGAAACTTGGTTTGAAATGTTAAATGTTAAATTGCGCATTTTATGGTTTACAGACAAAATATTGCAGGAAATTCAAGGATAAATAGATTCCAACAAACTTTATGATCAAGAAAAAATTTAAAATTGTTTCACCATGATTTTTAAAATTACACAGCACCACAACCTGGAAAAGTATTAAAAAGGATCTTAACAAATTGATGCAGCGTGACTAGGCGATGCACATATATTTCAGAACCAACAGAAATTTCATACGGTGGCTAAAAAAAGTGCTTGTAACTGAAAATTAATAGCAAAACACAATTTGCGATTTCTTTAATGTTTTAAAAAGAAAAACATTGCGGAAACGAAGCAAAATATTATTCTGTATAACTGCAAAGCCTAGAATTTTAACCAAATATTTATTTGATTTGGTTCAAAGAATTGCAAAGTTTCTAAACAATCTTTGTCTTTAGGATAAAATGGTTTTAGAAATATGATTGAAGCCGATCATTGTCATGCCAGTTAAACTGATTAGATTTCTGATGGTTTAATTTATCATATTTTAAATTCGGAGAATTGAATAGAAATTAATAATTTTTGCTTAAAGTTAGGTTTCATTTAAAACAAATTAAATTACAAAAATTCATGGATATTCGTGTCCCAGGCTTCTCATTTATAATATCACATTTTTAGTTGTTTTTATTTCAAATTCAATTTTCTAGTTTCTTTCAAATCATTAAATTTCTCGAAAAATAAAAAATACACTGTTGCGTGGCCTTAGGAATAAAGTTTATAAAAAAGAAAGACGACATAAAGCTGAGCTATAAATTTGTATATATTTACATATATTTATTTGAATGATCAAATTACTTTCCAGTAGTGTAGCTAGCCCAGAGCCCTACTATATCAACTAACTAACTCTTTTCATAAATTTCTATCATTGGCAGTTGCTATTTATTCAATATCTCTAAAGCTTTAAAATCTGTTTTGAAAATGATAAGCCAATTCTTTTTACAATTAGCATTTACTTGTAAAAAAGAATTTAAAAGAAAAGTAGTTTTTTTTTTGTTGGTAATGATAAATTTTTGTGTGTATTTAACAATGTAGATTAAGAACATCAAACATACCAATATAATATACATTTTTTATAATGAGTATATTCAACCTGTGTACAATAAAAACTTGATTACTAACATTACACCAAATACTGTGTTTGATCAAACCTAATGGAGATTATACTGTTTTTTCAACTAATAACTTATATTTTTTAATTGTCTTTCCTTAAAAATTCATTTCTGATAAAATTGAAAAACTACAATATTTTTCAGCTAGCCTTGATGTGAGGTTTGATCCTGGGCCAGGGAAACCGGTTCCTGGAGGAAAACCGGTTCTTCTTTCTCTACCCAAAACCTTCAGAGTAGAGAGCATGGGTGAAGTTCTTCTACCTTGCAAGGTACAAAAATAATCTTATTTGTTTTGTTGCTTATATCTACTTATAGCAATTACTAGGGGTTTTAAAAGTTAAAATCTATGTATTTTCTAATGACATGAACCTAATAGTCTGATACCATAAATAAACCTGAAAATTCCGTCCATGAACGTTTATATAAGGTTATGGGTCTTGCAGGGTGCAGTAAGTTTACAAATACTGAAAATATCAAGATTTTAGACATTTTCTGTTTTTTTGGCGGATTTGGGAATTACTTTGAAGCAAATTTTTAACATTCTGACCGGCCATAGACCTTCCTTGGAATTAAGTAAGATAGAAATAAGCTAAAAATAATTTTTTTTATAGAATATTCATGTTTACATTTACGTTTTATGTATACTTTGAATTTTTCTAACACAAATAAGAAACCTGCGCGAGCTTACTACTTCATTTTCTTAGAAGGCCCGTTACTGAAGTTTAAGTAGTAGATCTAGGGTTGCAAGCTGTAGTAGTAGATCTAGGGTTGCAACCTGTAGTAGTAGATCTAGGGTTGCAAGCTCCCATTAAAGTTTTGCCAATTACTTCTTTAAAAGGCTAAAATCTAAAAGTTCAAAAAATGAAAGGCTATCAATCTGATCTAAATGCTTTTTAAACTCTGCGATTTTTTTGCAGAAATTTAAAAAAATCTATATTCGAGGCGAAGTCATATTTATTGAGATTCTCAATCATTTTGGGCAGCCCTGTATCATCCTAACTCAAGATTATGTACTAGCAATTTATTTTTCTCTCTTAAGAATCCAAAATTTAAAAAAATCACACTACACATTATGCCAGGCGGTTAAGTTGAAAAATTTAAATCTTTTGGGTTTAAAATACGAATGAAGACAAATCATTTTTATTTTAACAGGTGGTGGTTTGGAAGTTTGGGAACAGGGTGCTCACAGCAGGAAATCTTAGGATTAAACGAGATCACAGGTAGAAACAGAATTGGTTTTTTTTCAAATTAATTTTGAAAATCTAGTTTTAAAGAAGTCCCTGAGGGCCGTAGAATGGTCTAAAAAAGATGACGAGCTAAGAGCATTTTTATAAAAAAGACGAACTTAAATATCTCTTGTGAAAAAACCACATTAAAAGCAGTCAGTATTGCAGGATATCAGAGTATGTATATTAAGTTGATAAATACCGTGTACTTTTTACTTTAACATCATGTGAACTCGACGTTTTAAATTAATTAAGTATGTCCTTACTTAAACCCCATACAGCTTAATCTCATAGGGTAAAATGTTATAACAAGAAAAGAATTGAGTCTATGCTACAAACTCAAATTTTCTAATCTTATTATCTTTGCAAACATTTGATATTTCAAATCTAGACTTTTTGATCTAACAGAAATCACAATTTTAAATATCATAAGTCTGCGACATTAATTTGCAAAGATATAGGGATTAGAAAATCAGAGTTTGTAGCAAAACTAAGACTCAATTCTTTACAAGCTCTTTTTTAAGTTATCATGTTACATATATGGTGTTAGGTAATTCCCTCAAGGCCTTTTCGCAAGTCCAACTTCCCACGTGGTAATTCTTCCCAAATGTTAAATGTTAGCAGCAACATCCGGCCCGAATGTATACATTTAAGGCAGGCTGAGATGGGGGCCGAGTGCTGCGACTAGGATGGATAAGGGGGCCCAGCGCTGTGGCTAGAATGGGTAAAGGGACCAAGCGCTGCGGATAGGATTGGTAAAGGGACAGAGCGCTGTGGATAGGATTGGGAAAGGGACCGAGCGCTGCGGCTATTATTGGTAAGGGGACCGAGCGCTGTGACTATGATGGGTAGGAGGAAGAGTGCTGCGGCTAGGATTGGTAAGTTGGCCGAGCACTGCGGCTAGGATTGGCAAGGGGACCGAGTGCTATGGCTAGGATTAGTAAGGGGGCCGAGCGCTGTGGCTAGAATGGATAAGGGACCGAGCACTGCGGCTAGGATTGATAGGGGACCGAAAACTGTGGATAGAATTGGTAAGGGGACCGAGCTCTGCGGCTAGGATGGATAAGGGGACCGAGCGCTGTTGTTAGGATGGATAGAACAGACTGGAAGCCTAGGAATGACTCGCCAGTTGTGAAAATAACCTTGTGAAGTGGGCGCTTGGGAACATGGCTTTTTTACCTGATAAACGTAAAATTAGACAAATATTAAAAGAAACTTTTTTCCATTTAGTATTTAGTTAACTGAACATGGTAACAATTGTATTACTCTTTTTAATTTGATTAATTTAATAAATTTGAGGAATGCTGCAGCTGCGGTTTAAATTAAATTGTTTAAATATTTCAATATTTGGTTAAAATTCCTTCCCTCATTGTTTTAATCTCTAAACGAGGTTTTGTGGAGTCCTTGACAAATCTACAAGGTCAGTTTAAAAAACTGGATCAGAGATGTCTTGAGCAAATTTTTAAAAATTATTGTTTGTATTTGATTTTAGCTAGAGTAACATTAAAATTTGAAAAAAAGTTTACACCATTTTTTTGGAACAAAGTTTTTTTTCTCCAAAATTTCATGAGAATTCATCAATAACTTAATGATTTATGAAAAATCACTTATTGTAGACTTCTTAAATAGATTTATTTTGGAAATGTTGTGCAAATCATTGCTTATAATGTTTTTTTTACTCAACCTGTAGTAGTAGATCTAGGGTTGCAAGCTGTAGTAGTAGATCTAGGGTTGCAAGCTGTAGTAGTAGATCTAGGGTTGCAAGCTGTAGTAGTAGATCTAGGGTTGCAAGCTGTAGTAGTAGATCTAGGGTTGCAAGCTGTAGTAGTAGATCTAGGGTTGCAANAAATATTCTAGGATAAGACTAGTGTACATAAATATTCTAGGATAAGACTAGTGTAAATGAATATTCTAGGATAAGACTAGTGTACATGAATATTCTAGGATAAGACTAGTGACCATAAATATTCTACGATAAGACTAGTGTACACGAATATTCTAGGATAAGACTAGTGTACATAAATATTCTACGATAAGACAAGTGTACATGAATATTCTAGGATACTAGTTTCCATGAGTATTCTAGGATAAGACTAGTGTACATGAAAATTCTAGGATAAGACTAGTGTCCATAAGTATATCTAGGATACGACTCGTGTACATAATATTCTAGGATAAGACAAGTGTACATAATATTCTAGGATACGACTAGTGTACATAATATTCCATTTCCAGGATACGACTAGTGTACATAATATTCTAGGATACGAATAGTGTCATAATATTCTAGGATACGACTAGTGTACATAATATTCTAGGATAAGACTAGTGTACATAATATTCTAGGATACGACTAGTGTACATAATATTCCATTTCCAGGATACGACTAGTGTACATAATATTCTAGGATACGAATAGTGTACATAATATTCTAGGATACGACTAGTGTACATAATATTCTAGGATAAGACTAGTGTACATAATATTCTAGGATAAGACTAGTGTTCATAAGTATATCTAGGATAAGTCTAGTGTACATAATATTCTAGGATACGAATAGTGTACATAATATTCTAGGATAAGACTAGTGTCCATAAGTATATCTAGGATACGACTCGTGTACATAATATTCGAGGATACGACTAGTGTTCATAATATTCTAGGATACGACTAGTGTACATAATATTCCAGGATACGACTAGTGTACATAATATTCTAGGATACGACTAGTGTACATAATATTCTAGGATACGACTAGTGTACATAATATTCTAGGTTAAGACTAGTGTACATAATATTCTAGGATAAGACTAGTGTCCATAAGTATATCTAGGATAAGACTAGTGTACATAATATTCTAGGATAAGACTAGTGTACATAATATTCTAGGATACGACAGTGTACATAATATTCTAGGATACGACTAGTGTACATAATATTCTAGGATAAGACTAGTGTACATAATATTCTAGGATACGACTAGTGTACACTGACTTGATGTTGAGTAATCTGACTGTAGAAGATGCTGGGCAGTACACATGTGAGGTATGTACACTGTACACTGTACACTGAACAAAACCTAATTTCTTAAAGGGAGCGACCAGCAAAAAAATTATTGTGGTAAAATTCTGATTTATTTAAGACCATTTATATGCCTCTACGCAATTACTGATTAATAAGAGTGCCCTTTCCATGGACGAGACAAAAAGTAAGCAATTTTCCCAGTTTTAAATTAAAGGTCGTCTTAGTGAGGCAAATCCAAAAAAAAAGCATTAAAATGCTATGCAGGGCAAAATACATTAAACGCAGTTTGAAGAATTCGCATAATTTTCTTTGACAAACTTTAGAATTCTTTTAAAGAACTTATTTCTTTATTTCGTCGACAAAATTGTGTTCAGGTGACATGCTCCGGACATATAGATAATATTATCAATTATATCAATTAAAAATGAAAAATTTTTAAATTCAAATAATAATAGGAGCAAACTTGAGTTTCTCAGGCTCCTCTGGGATATCGTTATTTTCAGATTGGTTGCGTATTTGCTGAATATGATCTGTTTAACACTACAAATCTTATACAAAATCTTACATAGATGTGTTTTGGTATAATTTTGACACAGTTTTATATCAATTTCTCGAGACGGGAACATCAGATGTCTCAATCTACTCCTGAGATTCTTAGGTTTCATCTTTACCCCGGCCCTTTCATTTTTCCTTTACAGTCCCTTTAAAAGTGCAAAGAAATGTACTTTTTATCTTATTCGTCAAAATATAAATTAAAAAAACACCAAGAAATAATGCAGAGGTATAGATATAATATTAATTTCTATAGGAATCTATATATCTGGAGAATAATAAAAAAATAATAACATTTTTATGACTGTAGATGAACATCATGGAAATAGTAAATGATTTATTTAATAATATTTATGAATATTTATGAATAAACGAATCTTTACAAAAATAATATTTATTTCACGAAGCTGCGGCGTTTGAACTAATTCAACAAATTCTTTCTAAATTAAATTTTCTACAATAAAATTTGCCATTTGGACAACAGCTTCCGTATATCAGTTGAATTAAACATGTGGGTAACATTTTGCAGATAGATAATTCTTTGACCAATGACTGTAATGTTTAGCGCGCAAAGTTCATTTCTAAACTTTATTCTTTAGGACAAGAATTTTACTATGCCGACCCTTTAGCCGTAGTCAAACTGTACAATAATTATGGGACTTTTAGAGAACCAATGTTTTAAAGTTATAATTCAGGGAATGTTTCAATTCGAATTTTATTTGATATTCCCCGAAATACTCATAAATACCTTACAGAGCCTATTTCTAGATGCTTGTAAATTAAAATTTTTATTAGCAAGCAGATTTGTTGCCTTTTCTGAAAGAATGATCAGTACAAATAAGTCAAGCATTCGTTTACTTTATATTTTGTTTAGAAATGATAAACGCACAGTTTTATGTAAAAATCTTAATATAATTGCAAATGATTGTAATGTGTTGGTGGAAAATTTGTCCCAAAATGTTGTTAAAAAAAATTTAACATTTTCAAAGTTACCAGATGATCAGAATTGGAAAATACCTCTCATTTATCAACTGATAGAATTTTTCTGTAAGCGATTTTAACTATCATGAATTTAATGATATAATGATATAATTTGTTTTGTACTGACTAACAACTGATATTCTATATTTACATATGTTCCTCTTTTCATTTTTGTCTTTGTCTTAATTTATTGTACCATTTTTTGTGTGCGAAATAAACTTTAATAATTTAAACATTTTCATATCGTTCAGGTTGAAACAGATATAGAAAATCCATTGATTCTCACGCATCAACTTGACATACTGGGTAAGCAAAGTTTTCTGTTTTTAAGACCAAACAAAAATATGTATAAAAGTATAACAATGATCTATGCATTGTCTGAAAGATATAAAAGCATAAAGGATGTTAAAAGGCAAGCACAATATTTTTGATCCTCTGGCAACACTTAACCCTAAACAGTTTGGGTTGGGGCGTGTTTGGCGCCCCTCCTTTAGTTTTCCTTTCTTAGCACTCTCATTTTAAACACTATTACCGTGAAATTTGTTTGCTTCTAATAACAAATTTAAAGGATGTTTTGTTAAATTTTCTTTTTTTTATGCATAGGGTAGAGTAGAGGGCAGTAAACAGTTCGGTCTGTGTATAAAAAAATGTAAAATAGCCCATAACTAAATGGATGTAGAAACATGTGTCACACTTTGATATTTGTTTTAAAAATATATATATATATATATTTTACATTTTTTTTACCTTTTTTTGACATTTTTTTAACCCTTCCTAGCAACCAAACCAGAAAAGTTATCGATCTAATTTTTTTCAAGAGCTGACCTATAAACTTGCATTTCAACCCTATACCTATTCTCTAAGGTCCCAGCCTTTATATGGTTAAGCAAATGTTGGGCAGTCAGTTTTTTAATGTTTGTATTATTATTAAGCATAAATATTAATGATAATTTGGGTTGGTTCAGAAACAATGGAGAAACTAACTAAATTAAACACTTTACAAGCAAAAAAAACCCGACGATATCTCCCGCATTATTGATCACATTTCAGTTAAACGGATACCGTTTTGAATAAGACGTGCCCTTTGTAAAATGGAGGGTCACACTCACTTGAAATGACAACGGCAGTTTCATTAAAATTGCGTTAACTGAACACTAAACTGATATTTATTGACTTTTTAACTTACTTTTACTAAATCAAATAGTCCAAGTTTGAAATATCAAAGGTTTACACAATCAGGATTCAAGTTGCCTAAATTCCCTGAACCAAACCAAATCATATTGCACTCTGATTGAACCAAACCAAATAATATTGCACTCTGATTGAACCAAACCAAATCATATTGTACTCTGATTGAACCAAACCAAATCATATTGCACTCTGATTGAACCAAACCAAATCATTTTGTACTCTGATTGATTCTTTTATTCATGGTTTGTTTTTACTCCTACTCTACTTACAGTGTCAATATGTCTGATTAGTTACATTGTTTACCCCCCTTCCCCCCCCTCTCCCCCCTTATGTCTCTTTATTGATTCATCTGTCGAATGTATTTGTTGTTGACATTGATGTTTATTGTTTGTTTTTTTGTTTTGTTTACTCTACTAACTAGTCTTAGTTTGTAGTACTCAACATGTTTTATTATTATATCATATTTGACCCCCCCTTTACCACAACACACACTACATGAAATTGTACCTCCATAGTAAAACTATCAACATATACTATAGCCCCTCCTTTTTTCAACCACAGTCTTTTCAGATTGGTTGCGTATTTGCTGAATATGATCTGTTTAACACTACAAATCTTATACAATTATTTTTGTTCGAGGACACAAAATTGTAATCTGTTTTAATATTATTATTATATATCAATTCTAGAACTTATGTCTTAAAAATATAATATTCTAGGAATATAACTCCAATATTATATATGAATACTAGCTCAAAGGCCCGATGTTGCCCGTGGAAAAAAATAATTGTAGCCTATAAGACCCCCCGGCCACCCATGAGTGTCCACAAATAATTTCGCCCAATCGGTCCAGCAGTTTGGCCGGCTTTACGCAACATATATGTATATTATATGTTTTATTCTATAGATAATACGTTATACTAATGCATACATATATCTAGATATATATGTAAAGTTGCATAAATTTTGTAAGACTTTGTCGACATCTATGTGTTAAACGTCTTAATCTTTTGATTTGACCTCCCTTACTTACTATTTATGAACATTTATAACTGTTAAGCACAATTGTGCTAAGCTTGATTTTTAAGTAATTGGTAAGATTTTAAGTCATAGTATGCAGATATTCTAGGATAAGACTAGTGTACATAAATATTCTAGGATAAGACACTTAACCCCCCTCTCACACCACAACCCTCATGAACCCTACAATTTCAAGACTAAGTATTTAGATATTACTGTATATATGATGGTGTAACATTTATTAAGGTTGTATGGTTATTAATCAATGTGTTTAATTAGAGCTTAGGCCCCTGGTTTTATAGTACCGTAATTTATAAATTTCTTAATTAAGGGAGAAAACTCGGGGGAAAATTGTAAAAAAAAGTTTATTCTTGCAAACATGTAACATAAAAAGTAAACAAAGGAGATACTAAAGAAACTTATATACCCTAACAAATTTGTCAAGACATGTTACTAAACATTGAAATAAAATCTAAAAACGAAATTGAACCACGTTAAAGGATTATTTACAAACTAGCTTGGAAACCCAGCTTTTCCTAGAAAACTAAGTTTTCCCATGTCAAAGTCTATTCCAACTCAACTTAAAGGTGTACACATAGATTTACTGTCTTATTTTTAATAAATTAGTTTTGATCTCTGGAAAGCAATTTAAATCAGATTTTTTTCAATCTCTTTCTTTTTACAACAGGATAATTTAAACATTTGATAATTTGAACTTAGACTTTTTATCTAGAAAAAATTAATATTAACAGTCGAAGACACATCAGGTTACATAGATAAAAGGGTCAGAAAGTTTGAGTATGAGGCAAGTTTTCAGTTCCTAAAAGCGTTTCTTTCATAAGCATAACGTTTACTCTTTTTGATAAATCAGATACTAAATCTTATTTTATATTTTGTGATTTCTCAGCAATCTTATCTGTCATGATTGTTATGCATAAACAATTACGACCGGGCCAAATTTGAAGGCTTGCCAGGTCTTTATCGTTCGGATGAACTTAACAACTATCTAATACTATAAAAAGCTTAAGGTTTTAACTTTAGTTTTGAAAATGGCAAAATATTTATAATGATATTAATATTCAGTGCCTCCAACGATCGAAGAATTGAATGCTCCTGGAGAACTACAAGTGATGAAGGGATCTTCCATCACTTTAAAGTGCCGAGCTAAAGGATTCCCAGTGCCGAAGGTAAACATTTAAAGGGACTGTCTGCGTAATTTCTAGTGAACCTCTATTCGGAACGGTGCCCTTTGAAACTTTGTCTGAACAAAGTGGATTAATACAAGGTTTAAAGGGTATCTTTTTGAAATCGAAATTACTTGAAAAAATGCTGACTGTCTCTTTAAGAAGGGTTTTTAGTTATATGTATTTGTATCTTGAAATTGACAGACCTTATTGCTGTTTCATTGGAGTTGTTTTTACAGATACAGCTCTGGGTTTTAAGGAATGAATGAATGAATTTATAATTATGGCTTAATGATACCTACCCTTCTGGTTCCATGGTCTGGATAAGAAAAGAATAAATGTTGATGATATCATGCATAAATATTAATATTCACAGACAAAAGGAAAATACTATTTCTCACTAAAAGAAAACATTTACACTGAATATGAATATATATATTATACAATGTTCGTGATTAAAAGATATTAACTTTGCTGTCTGCAGTACATTTTGCCCCAACTGCTTAAAAGTCGATACGGTACTTCAAATAAATCAAAGTTTTCAGTGTGTGACCCGTCCGTACGAATTCCATAGTTATTTCCGGAAGGAAAGTTTCCTTTCAATACATTTTCATTTAGGAAATTTCTGGACATTTTCTTCTTTCCTAAGTTTGTTTTTAGTTTGAATTTTCTATGGCCAAATCTTTTGCGCAAAATTTGCGCTATTTTCGCGCATTTTTTTTTTGCGAACTTTTGCGCTATTTTTGCGCATGAAACGCAATGAGTTTTGCGCTATTTTTTGCGCAAAATCGGAAATATTTTTTTGTGAAAGTTGCGCATGAAACGAAATTTTAATTTTGCGCAATTTTTTTGCGCAATTTGCGCAAGTTTTACGCAAAATGTAACTTTTTAGACAAATTGTCAAAAATTGATATTCTAAGCTTAGAATTAAACAACTGAAGATTTATTCCATACATTAAAAATATTAACATACGAGTATGATAACGAGTATACTACCCTCAATTGGTTACTTCCAGTTACAAAAAGTTTAAATTAAGGGACCAAAATTTATAAAATAGAAATTAGAAAATGTGAAACTTGGCAATATGTTAATCCTATTAAATAATTTCAAGTGACCCTTAAAAGCTTTGCCTAATCAAGTATGAATTATATTCTTAAATTTTTTTAATCAAATTTCTGAAATCTTTTTAATCTCATATAAAATAATGCAAGAAAGTAACCAATGCCTGAAGAATCCACTTTTAGGAAATATGCATGTCCAAAACTAAAATTGTCGAAACTTTTACTGGACAATCTGTTTCGGATTTTGGTACAAACCTTCCAGCACTGGAAGAATTGAATTCTAAGAAACACACACCGTCACCAACCGTTTGATTTTTACGAAATTGCGGAATTGCGTAAAACTCTAGTTGCAGAATTGCGCAAAACTTGAGTTTCGCAAAAGCGGAATATGGCAATTTTGCGGGAAATGACTTTTGCGAATGATTGCGCAAATTGTTGCTTTTTTTCTCGCAAAACTGATGCGCAAAGAAAGAAAACTTTTGCTTTTCGTTCCGCAAAAATTGCGCAAAAGTTTGCGAATGGAAACCCTAATTTTCTATATTCTACCAAACCAAACCTTTTGAATCAGAATAAAAAAGTAAGATATATATCTGGATAATACCCCCACAAGAATTCTATCTGTTGTCTATTGAAAACCTGTCATGGAAATTCTAGATTTTTATAAAAAGATTTTCTTTGAAAAGGAGGAAACTTAATCCTACGTCTTCAAACTTCTTAAAAGAGAATTCTAATCCTTTCTTTATATTCTTTATATTCTCTATATATGCAGTTTTTCCCGTTACACTTGAGTTCATGATAAAAGAATTGTCTGACAAGAATTATATAAAGTATTTTCATTGGTAGGCGAATATATCAATACAATGAAGACGACTTTCAATTAAAATTTTTATTTATATCAAGCTGTTAAACAGCATGGATACATATAAACATAGAAGTCAAAAAAAGCTGTCGATTGAAAAAGCTTCTCTTTGATTACTTGTAAACTTGTAAATCGAAAAATGCTTGTTAACATATAAACAAAAAAGTCGTCTTCATTGTATTAATATTGTATTTTATATAAATACCAATCAAGCATGAAAGTATCAAAATCTTTCTATTGTCCTTTTCACAAAACTTTTTTCACTCAAAACAAATTTTTGAAGTATTATTTCTTGAAATGAATTATTAAGAACCAACTTGAAATTCATTTATTTTTAATTGAAACTAAATTTATTTTTAAAAAAGAAATTTTTTACATTTTTATCTTAATATCCAACATTTTTTGGAAAGCAAAATCTTTTTTTTGATTAAATACTTTTGATTAAATATTTCGAGATTGAATGGATCGTAGGAGTCCTGGATATTTCTAGATTTAATGGAGTAGTAGTCGAGTAATAAATATATTTCTAGATATAATGGAGTAGGAGTATAAGATATATTACTAGATTTAATGGAGAAGGAGTACTGAATATATTTCTAGATTTAATGGAGTAGGAGCACTAAATATGTTTCAAGATTGAATGCTGTAGGAGTACTACATATATTTTAAGATTGAATGGAGTGGGAGTTCTGAATATATTTCAAGATTGAATGGAGTAGGAGTACTATATATATTTCTAGATTAAACGAAGTAGGATTACCGGAAGTATATTTCTAGATTGAATCGCAAAGGAGTACCGATGTTATATTTTAAGATTGAATGGAGTAGGAGTTCCGGAAATATATTTCTAGATTGAATGGAGTAGAAATACCGGAAGTATATTTCTAGATTGAATGGAGTAGGAGTACCGGAAGTATATTTCTATATTGAATGGAGTAGGAGTACCGGAAGTATATTTCTATATTGAATGGAGTAGGAGTACCGGAAGTATATTTCTAGATTGAATGGAGTAGGAGTACCGGAAGTATACCCCTGGAACTGTTCTCCTATGACCGAAGTTTTCTCACGATAACCAACCTTACTAGGAATCAACCAACTAAACACTTACTACAATTAAAAAGAATTAATGTCTTTAATTGATTAATCTCTTCTTGAAGGGTTCGTTCACTTTTCAAAGATAACTGTGGCCGCCAGAATTCCAAATAAGTGAACGGTACCATCATTCTAATTCTAAATACGTTCTTTCCACTTTAAAAATAGGAGTGTTATTTTTCAAAACAAGAGACGTTTAATATAAAGTTGAATTGTGAACATGTTCTTTTTGTTTACATTTTAAAACAAAAAAGAAAAAAATTTGCGGATTTAAAAAAAAAATTAGAGGATTTTCAAGAATTTAAATTTTTTACAAAATTAAAAACCTTTAAAACACATTTTTTTAATTTTTATCATTCATAAACCTTCCCTGTGGTCACGTGATGTCCCACAAAAAATTTGGGCCCGATCGGTTCAGCCGTTTTGACGTTTATTGGATACAAACAAACAAACATCAAGACACCCATACAGACAAGCCAAATTTATATATAGATTTGTATGTTTTTTAAGAGTTCTTAAGAATAACTTAAAGTTTTGAATATATAATTTGTAGCCAAACTAAATTGTTTTCTTATACCCATCCATGCGTAAAAATCAAAACCAGAGTAGCTACGAGAATTCAGAGTCAAACCATAAATTTGACCCGCAAATTTTTTGTAATTCTCGTGAGTAAAAAATCCACCAAATTTATGAACCTGTTTTGATAGTTTGTTGACTAGACAAGATGGCGGTGAGTATGCGTGTACTGCAGAAAATGGTGTCGGGTTCCCAGACAGACATGTTATTAGAATCAATGTGAAACGTAAGTACTTCCTCTTAGTCTTATCCCTCAATAGACTGTTTAAATATTTTTTATTCTTTATTAAGAATTTAGAAAAAAAACCTTTTTTTAAAAGTGGTAAATAAACTTATTAAATTTAAAACCATCAATGTTTAATTAAATTTTTTTTTTAAAGAATCTAAGTAACATTTCAATTCATCAAACCATCAATAAATTAATCCATAAATCAATCAATCTCATGTTTTCTTTTTGTTTTGAAAACTTCTTATTCCCATATCTACCGTATGCTTTGCATTAATGAAAGTAAAGTTGGTTTCAAGTTGAATCTTTGAATTTATGAAAATGATTAAAAATCGATTGCATTAAACCTAAACTGAAGGTGTGATGTGTACTTTACCCAATCCCTTTGTTACCGATTGATTCGTTTTTACAATTTCCGTTATTTAACAGAGGTTTGACAAGTAGAGGCCATGCATTTTTTATCAATAAAAGTTAACGGAACTAATTTCTTGGCAAAGGTAACGGAACTCTGTCCAGAAAAACAAAGGAACTTTGTTCCGAAAAAAAAGAAATTTTGTCCAGAAAAAAAAACAAAGGAATTTGTCCAGAAAAACAAAGTAAATTTATCCAGAAAAACAAAGTAACTTTGTCCAGAAAAACAAAGTAACTTTGTCCAGAAAAACAAAGTAACTTTGTCCAGAAAAAAAGAAACTTTGAAAGTAACGCAACTTTGCCCACTTTGGGAGAGGGCAGTGGTTGTTATGTAAGTTTTATTTGAGTTTTTTTTTTCATAATTTTCTTTCATGTTTGTGGAACTATCTGATCTAAATATTTTCTAGATTCTCCTGAGGTCATTCCTGTAACACAAGTTGTATACACGGGAATAGGAGAACCAGTGGAACTCTCATGTACAGTGTACGCCAGGTGGGGATAAACTCATGTACAGTGTACGCCAGGTGGGGATAAACTCATGTACAGTGTACGCCAGGTGGGGATAAACTCATGTACAGTGAACGCCAGTAGGGGATAAACTCATGTACAGTGTACGCCAGGTGGGGATAAACTCATGTACAGTGTACGCCAGGTGGGGATAAACTCATGTACAGTGTACGCCAGGTGGGGATAAACTCATGTACAGTGTAAGCCAAATGGGGATAAACTCATGTACAATGTACGCCAGGTGGGGATAAATACATGTACAGTGTACGCCAGGTCGGGATAAACACATGTACAGTGTACGCCAGGTCGGGATAAACTCATGTACAGTGTACGCCAGGTCGGGATAAACTCATGTACAGTGAACGCCAGGTGGGGATAAACTCATGTACAATGTACGCCAGGTCGGGATAAACACATGTACAGTGTACGCCAGGTGGGGATAAACTCATGTACAATGTACGCCAGGTGGGGATAAACTCATGTACAGTGCACGCCTGGTCGGAATAAACTCATTTACAGTGTACGCCAGGTCGGGATAAACTCATGTACAGTGAACGCCAGGTCGGGATAAACACATGTACAGTGTACGCCAGGTCGGGATACACTCATGTACAGTTACGCCAGGTCGGGATAAACACATGTACAGTGTACGCCAGGTCGGGATAAATACATGTAAAATGTACGCCAGGTAGAGATAACGCATGTACAATGTACGCCAGTTAAGGATAAACTCATGTACAGTGTAAACCAGGTAGGGATAAACACGTTTACAGTGTAAACCAGGTAGGGAAAAACTCATGTACATGTAAACCAGGTAGGAATTAACTCGTGCACGGTGTAAACCAGGTAGGGATAAACTCGTGTACAGTGTACACCATGTAGAGAAAAACTCATGTACAATCTACACCATGTAGAGATAAACTCATGTACAATGTACACCCAGTGGCACAGCTAGCACTTTTATGAGAGGGGGGGGGGCGAAATTTGATTTTGAGTGGCTGGGCTCAGCCTGGGCATGGGTTGTCGAAATTTTATTTTTTAAATCGCTCAATAATATATCAAATTCTTATAATATCAATGGCTTGTTCTATTGTTAAAAAAATATACTTCTAACAGCTTTAAAATATGAACGACATAAAAATTTTGAGTAAAGATGGTCTGAAATCATAATCATGCTGCATAGAGTCAAGTAATAAACTCATGTACAATGTACGCTGGTAAGTAATAATCACACGTACAATGCACGCCAAGTAGTAATAAACTTATGCACTTTGTAGGCCTTTTTTGTGTGAAGCTATTTCACGGTAAAAATAACAAATATTACAAGAATTGTTACTAGAAACTTTAATACAAGATGCATTTCAATGCTTCAAAGAATTTATTTTGTAAAGCCATTACAAATCCTCAGAAAATATAATGGTGAATAGTGCATTGTGCAATTCCCCCCCCCCCCTGGTATACTTTGTTTGTACAGTATTCTGTAATATGAATGTATAGCAATGTTTACTTTAAATTTTCAACATATTTCTTGTATACATATTGTATACATATTTCAAAGAAAATTCAAACCTCCAATATCATCCAAATTTAAATTCAAAGTAAACAATGTTTTCTTCTGCATTAAATCCCACGGTTCAGGCTAGGAATTTTAGAAATACCAATAATGATAGTTTTCTCTTAAAATCAACCACGAGGTAATAAATTCAAAAATCGACTGAAGTGTTTCCATATTTTAACGATTTTTTATGTCTTTCAACAACGTGCTCCAAATTGATAACTTGACTTTATATACCATATACGATTTAAAACAAAATTAAATAAACAAACCCTGCATTTTTACTGGTTTTGAGGCATATTGACATTGGGCTAACTGCTGTTCAAGCAGCAAAATAATCAGAGCTTTAAACTTTTGATTGCTTGATTTCCTTTTTTTGTTAATCTGCGGATAACCCAATTTTTTTAACCCAGAAAAGTGTCTTTTACATAAACCAAACACCCAATAAGGAGCCGGGAAATTTTGAGTTCAATCAATGAGAGAACTCTGGTTGGTCGGAACCCAGCAGGGATATCCAATAGAAAGGATTTTGCAGAAATCAAAAATGTCCACAGTGGATATCGAGATCAAGCGAACGGGATTAAGGGTATCCTACACAGGAGTTTCCAGCACAGAAGTTTTTATATATTTAATATTTGTTTGTTTTAGTCCAACTGGAAGTATGACATGGTACCACAACTCAATGGTTCTGGATCACGATAACAATACCTTCTTCAGATCTAAGGCACAAACATCATCAACCTTCTATTCTTAACATTTTTCAATGAAATTTACGAACCCCTTCGCCCCCCTCCTACAGTTATAAGATATTTGCTATCCACAATCCTCTTTTTTACAATCATGTTTTCAGCAATTATATCTAAATTTCTTTTTGATATAGAGTGAAAATTATATTCAATTAAATTCAAGTGTTATTTGAGAAATCTAATTTGATATTCAAGTTATCTAAACTTTCATCTTATCAATTAGTCTCAATCTTGAAGAGGTTAAAGGAAAGGAGTAAAGTCATCAAAGCTTATTTCTCTTTATGAAGCAAGGAAGTATTTTAAAGGAATAGATTTGAAAATGGGTTGAAAAAAAACACTCGGCTAGGACTATAGAGTCCCCCCCCCCTTTCTTTCCCGAGTTAAAGCAACTGTAGACGAAATTGCAATTGGTGGTTCGTTCAATTCACAAAGATACTCTTTAAACTTTTTGTCTTAAACTTTGAGGAGATCTCCTTTATTCTTTTCAGAAAAAGATCTAAAATGTACCTTTGTGAATTTGAAATGCCTTTCTTCTTGTGGAAATTATGTATACAGTCCCTTTAAGGGTTAAAAAAAAATTTCCTTAAAATTAATTTTCTGTATTAATAAATAAGTTGGTCCAGTATATAAGCCCTCTAGTTGATATCCTAGAGCAGTGATGTTAGGATTTAATAAATCTAGAAAATCCTCGAGAAATCCTAGTAATCCATGCACTCTAAGCCTTGGCATTGAGAAGAGGGAGATTAAGTTATACATATCAGTTTTTAAATTAACCCAGAATAGACGGGTATTCAGGGGGGTTAGTAAACAGTAATTAACCCAGAATAGACGGGTATTCAGGGGGGTTAGTAAACAGTAATGTCTGAAAAATGAAGAAACCTTTTTTTTTAAATTTTATGTAATTATTACTAATTTAGTATTTTTTATGAAAACGATTTAGAGTTGGACACGACTTTTCAATTGAGTTAATGTTGTTTTTTCGTTGGTTCGGAGCCTTTACCCTTATAGGTTGGTCATTTCTTAAACGAGAGTTGTACTTCTCTCTGGTGAAAAGGTTTGAGTATAAAATTCCAAGAAATGTTTCTTTTCTGTTATTTCTGATAAAACAATATAGTTATGTACTTACATTTCATATAATTTAGACCTGAAAACTTTACTGCAGGAAGTGAGTCTTTTTCACAAACTCAAATAGTCTAATTCTTATATCTTTGCAACCTGATAATGTTACCCTTTGATAATTCAAACTTAGATTGTATGATATAACAGAATTTATAGTTTGAATTATCAAATGTCTACGACATTTGGTTGCAAAGAAAGGAGGATTGGAAAATCAGAGTTTGTGGCAAAGACTAAATTCCTTTGTCAATAGGTATTCGTTCCTTTAAAAAAAATTTGCCCGTCAAATATTTTTACGTTTAACGTTGGCTAGATACCTACCTAAATATTGATATGGTTTGTCTGGTACTAGGGATCTGTGCATACTCTGTTTATATCTGAAGTAAAACTGGAGACTCTAGGAAACTATACTTGCTTAGCTAGCAATGTTTATGGTCGAGGAGAGACCACAATACAGCTCACAGGTCTGTTCCCCAGATTGACCGTAAAACTGTTTGTGACCTATTTCAATTAAAGATTAATCATGAAAAACAAATCAACATCTACTTGAGATTGACCACAAAATAAACCTTAACATCTACTAAACTATTAACCATAGAATTTACCTTAAAATTCTCCTTTACTGCAACTTAAGATTTACCTTGATTCGACCTTAAACCTACTAATAAATTTTCGATAAAATTGACTTTTATTACAAGTACATATCGACCATGAAATTTACCTTTATTACAACTGCATATCGACCATGAAATTGACCTTTATTACAACTACATATCAACCGTGAATTTGACCTTTATTACAACTACATATCAATCATGATATTGACCTGTACTATCACTACATATCGACCATGAAATTGACCTTTATTACAACTACATATCGATCATGATATTGACCTGTATTACCACTGCATATCGACCATGATTGACCTTTATTACAACTACATATCGACCATGAAATTGACCTTTATTACAACTGCATATCGACCATGAAATTGACCTTTATTACAACTACATATCGACCATGAAATTGACCTTTATTACAACTACATATCGATCATGAAATTGACTTTTATTTCACTTACATATCGACCATGAAATTGACCTTAACCTCTACTTGAAATTGACCTTATAACCTCTACTTGAAATTGACATCTACTGTAACTAAATATACCCACAAAACTAACTTAAACTTTTCTGCAAAATTGACATTAAAATTAACTGTAAGCTCTAACTTGATATTGACATTTATTGCAACCCAAGATTTACCATGAAGTAGAATTTAACTGCTTATTAGGATTGGCCATAAAATTGACCTCAACCTCTGCTAAAGTTTTGACCATAAAATTGACCTTGAATTGTATTAGAATTCTCCTTTTCTGCATTTAAAGTTTAACCTTAAACTTAAATACTTAGAAATCTACTATGAAATTGAACCTTTTTGCAATATTTATGACTTTCACTCTAACCTTTAATTGAAATTGACTAAAAATTTACCATGACATTTTCTCTAACTTACTTTACCTTGACCATGACCTTGACCCTGATCTTGAACTTAAACATGACCTTGACCTTGACCTTAAGCTTGAACTTGAACTTGAACTTGACCTAAACTCGAACTTAACCATGACCTTGACCTTGACCTTGAAATTGAACTTGACCTTGACCTTGACCTTGAACTTGAACTTGACCTTAACCTAGGTATCCCTGAGCCCCCCAAATACTGCCCTGAACTGAGTGGAGAGTGGAATAATGGAATCTATTTACTAGGCACAAATATCTAATATCTAAATTGTATAAAAACAGTGTGTCCCATAAAAGTTGACAGTTGACAGAAGGCTTGAAGATCGTCTTTTATCTTTGTAACATTTTGCGGCATTTATTCGTCAACCTAATTGTACAAGTGATATTTTTAAATAAATAATCATGAAATTAAGAATTAGACAAATTATCTTATGAATTGAAATCTGAGCGAAATTCCTAATATCGACGATAATGGTGAAAGCACAAAAAGACCACATTTAGGCTCACAAATTTCTGTAATTGTTGTTTTAAGAGTCATAAATTTAAAAGTAGGTTGAAAAATGAATGCTGCGTCGATCAGATCAAAATTGATTTTCAAGCTGTATCTCATTCTCAACATTCAACATTTTAGAACATTAGAATAAATCAACGATCTCTGAGAAAAATGTTTAAGTTTTTCATTTGGATAAATAAGTCAATTTCGAGCATAATTATTATATTATTATTTGTTCTGAAGCCTGGACCTGCTCTAGTGCAACTGCCGTTATCAAGTATAGACTTCAGTATAGACGATTCCAGGTATATTTTCAATCTATTCTAAGGTACAGACGATTCCAGGTATATTTACAAACCATTCTAAGTCACAGACAATTCCAGGTATATTTACAAACTAATCTAAGGGACAGACGGTTCCAGGTAGATTTACAAACTATTCTAAGGCACAGACGATTCCAGGTATATTTACAAACTATTCTAAGGTACAGACGATTACAGGTATATTTACAAACTAGTCTAAGGCACAGACGATTCCAGGTATATTTACAAACAATTCTAAGGTAGAGACGATTCAAGGTATATTTACAAACTATTCTAAGGTAAAGACGATTCCAGGTATAATTACAAACTATTCTAAGGCACAGATGATTCCTGGTATAATTACAAACTATTATAAAGCACAGAGGAATTCAGGTATATTTACAAACTATTCTAAGTAAATGATTTCAGGTATATTTACAAACTATTTTTAAGGGAGTGTAAGCTTAATCTTAAGTGACCCTAAGCGCAAAGATGACAACGCACGATTTACAACAATATCCTTGAAACCTTAGTCTGTTAAAAATGTGGAAGATACCGTCGATTTCCCGACTCAAAACGATTGAATCTGATAGTTTCTTCGTTGTTTTTAAGAGCAAGAAATACGCAAGTCACTTTCCAAGAGAACCCGCAAATGAAAACAAACAGTTTATAGAACCAAACACCATTGTTTTATACTGCTCTTTTTAGGGGAAGCACTCAGTCTCCCAGGAGCCTTGGTTCAAAATAGAAATCTCGGAAGAATCTCAAGATACTAGTTTGTACTCAATGCAGTACTCCTTAGGTAATTTTGTACTCCATGCAGTACTCCTCAAATAATTTTGTACTCAATGTAGTACTCCTTAGGTAATTTTGTACTCCATGCAGTACTCCTCAGGTAATTTTGTACTCAATGTAGTACTCCGTAGGTAATTTTTTACTCAATGCAGTACTCCTTAGGTAATTTAGTACTCAATGCAGTACTCCTTAGGTAATTTTGTACTTAATGCAGTACTTCTTAGGTAATTTGTACTCAATGTAGTACTCACTAGGTAATTTTGTACTAAATGCAGTACTCACTAAATATTTCAGTATACAATACAGTACTCAGTAGAAGTTTTTGTATTTATTGAAGAACCACTTTGCAATTTTTACTCGATATAATAGTACTGATCATTTTGTGCCAAATCCAGTACACTTTGAAGATGAACACTACAACTTGGAACATTTTTGAAAACTTTTTAGGCAAAGCTTGGAACCCAGCTCACTGCTTTGTTTGAAAACTTAACTTTTTCTTTAAAAGACAACCTGCTCAACCTTTTTTTTAACAAATTTAAATCATTAAATTAAAAAAAAACTTTATTCTAAAGTTTAAATATCTTGAGTAAGTCTATGATAAGCTGGTAGGATGAATAGATGATGATGAATCTGGATTCTCTAAACACCTTCAGAGCTGAAAATTTAAAAGAGTATCGTTTAGTGAAACTCACAAGTTTCCTTTTAGGGTATATATAATACATTTGTGTAGATTTTTAGAAAGAAATAAAGAAATAAAAGAGAATACAAAACTAACCGTGAAAATAATATTTCTAACAAAAACATTTGATATCTACAAACTTGCCTTAAACCATTAGTCTTACCCTGTCTTAAGTTTTTGGCTCAGGAGGGGTTGAAGAATAAAGATTATCAGGATGGTATTAATATGGATGAAGTGGGCGAAGCAATGATTGAGCTCTTATACTTGAATATACGTCAAGATAGAATATATAGACAATATACATTATACAATATACAAGCATTCTCTGCAGGGGGAGGTAGAGATAGGCATGGGCATTGTAGGCACATTAGTCACTGTGATTTTTCAAGGTTACATTTGTTGCATAAAGCGTGCTGGATCAACTCTACACTGGGTAGCATGATGTACATGTACGTGTACGTTGTACCGACACGGATCATGCATATTTTAGACTGGGGTGTAGTCTTACAGGAAGGGTAAAAACAATGAACAGTGTACAGTGTACTGTTCCGTTTTTATGTCTTTACGTATATACTGCTTTCCACTGTGCAATATTTCATTCAGCAAACAATCGAAGTGTTTTTAAATATGCATAAATCAGAACTAAGGATAAAATTTTGCAAACCGTAAGAAGATTTTGCAAATGTATTGCATTTTAGTCCGAAACAAAAGGTTTGCTTGAACCTGAAAGTCATTAATCTGTATGTGGTCTACTCTCTTCAGTATGAGTCCTTTTTAACCATCCTTAAAGACGCAACAGATAGAAGTAAAATTAGTAGCTATCAAACTCGAATTCAATTCGGGATGAGCCTCCACCCCCTTTCAGTTTTTCGAACAATCCCTTTAGAGATAAAAAAGGCATTGCCATAAAGCAAAATTGTATCAAATCCCAGATACAATTAAAGTTTCACTGCTTAATAGTTTTCAATTAGATTTAATTTAGATTTGTGGTTGTTTCATTTAAATATATTTTGGCATATAGTTTTATTTCTAATTAAATTTTAATTATGTAAAGCCCATTGTGATTCCCAAAGGCTTGTTTGAAAATCGACCTAGTTCCTGGCATATTCCTTGCAGAAACTGCAGGAAACTCTCGTTTAAACTCTTCCATGAGGTCCAATTAGTGTTAATTGTCTTGTGTTTTCATTTCTTTCAGTGTCAACATTTAGCTTAGAATAAAAAAGTTATTTTAAATTGTGTAATCTAAATATTAGTTCTTCTTGCGCTATGTCAAATTTTAGCCCTGGCAAAAGTTGTATGCAGAAAACGACATAAAACTATTTGGACAAAAATATTTAGGTAAAAAATATTGTATTTATATAACCACCGATCTGCACTTTAGCAAGATGAAGTTTTTATTTCAAACGTTTTTATTTTAGAACATCTCTCGGCCTGGGTTACTTACGAAGCCACGATTGAAGCATACAACAAGTTTGGGTGGAGCTACCCTTCCCAACCCTTCAACTTTACTCCCAACTCAGGTTATTCCTTTCCCAATCCTTCAATTTTACTCCGAACTAAGGTTATTTACTTCCAAACCCTTCAATTTTACTCCCAACTTAGGCAACATATTTCCCAATCCTTCATCTCTACTCCCAACTTAGGTGATATACTTCCCAACCCTTCAGCTTTATTCTCAACTCAGGTTATACTCTTCCAAACCCTTAAACGTTGTTCCCAACTGAGGAAAACTTTTTTTTTCTCAGTTTTCTTCAGATATTTCAATAACTTAATGTGTAGTGCAATTCTTATTTTCGAGTGTTGAGTAAAAATACATTTTTAATGGCAACAATCAATTAAAGATTTTTTTCAGGCGAAAAATTTGATTTTTTCACAAAAAAACTTGAAAATTAGATGACTTGTAACGATGTATTAAACCAGCTCAAATGAAACCTTTACGTATCTAGCTAAAAATAGAGGTTTTCGTTCACGTTTAACAATAATGTTTAATGTAAAAGTTAAACCAAATTTATTCAGTTTGGCTAATCAAGATTAAATAATCGCCACAGGCTACCTGGACTCAAATTTACTTTTTTTTCCTGTAAATATCTGAACAAAGACAAAGCAAAGCCCTTTTTCAATTTGAGGTTTTAAAGTACTGTTTTCAACGGACTTTTCATAAAAGGTCGGATAAATTTTTATATTTATCCAAAACCCTGGGAGCAACTCCAAAATCATGAGTGCACTGCTAAACCCTGGGAGTAATTACAAAACCATGAGAGCAGCCATCCCTTCCTCGTCAAAATCAACTCCTAGAAAATAGATTTTTAAGTTCAATAAATAGTAGCAGTCTATTCACCTAAAATATTATCTTTTTTTAAAAGTAGATCAGGCTTTTAAGTTTTCTTAATAATTAATGTACACTGTACAGTGTTTAAGAATTCAATGGATTGATCATTTACAATTCTGCTAAATGTGTTTATTTTTCAGGACTAACAGGAAAAAAAGCTTAAAAACCATAAAAATGTTAAAAATATTAAGATATTATTACTGAACTAGGGAGAGATAACCCCCAACACTTAATCATGCTCTTGATCAATAGTTTTATTTCTATATGTCTCTAATGCATAGATTACAGCGGTACTTTCATCTGGTATAACAATGAGGAAAAATCGTATTTTACTATCTTGAAAAGTGTTAAACTTTTTCGATTTGATTTTTTGTCTCTGCCTTTTAATCTGCACACAAGTAAATTTTTTCGAGACACTGCTATCGGGAATTATAAAGTTTTAGATAGAAAAAACTAGGATATCTTCTTCATCATTTCTCAGCTAAAAGTCAAAAGGGTACTAATGAAAATAAGAATCGAATTTGCCCCTCTTATCATGAGAGATTACTTTTTTATCAACTTTTCCATTTCTGTTTAGGTGGAGTATCTAAACCGGCAGTGATTTCAACACAACCTAAAACTCAGTCAATGACATCATTTGGGACCCAAGTTAGCCCCTTTGCTGTAATCATTCACGCCATTCTTCTTGTAATTTTAGTTTTAAATCGGTAATTTAACATTCAAATTGGTTTTATCAAATCATATGTTGCTCAAATGGAATCACTCTTACAAATAAAAATCAGTCTGATTTGACTCTGAAATGTACCAACACTTTTACAGCTAATATAGAAAAAAAAACCTTTTTGAGCTAAAATTGTAAATATGTACAAAAATAAATGTTTAAAGTGTTTAAGTGCCAAAATTATTAAATGGGTTATGTCACATGTTACGCAATATCTAACCTCTTTTTACCCAATTTAAACTAACCTTTTCGTAATTTAAACTTTAAAATTAAACATTTCAAGAATTTGTTGTGTTCCATTTCGATCTACTTTTTTTATTAAATACTAGCTAAAAAACCCGGCGTTGCCCGTAAAAAAAAAATATGTTCAGCCCATTCGGTCCAGCCGTTCGGCCGGCCAAAGGGAACATATATATACGAATGTCTTGTCTAATAATTGCACATTTAACATAACACCAGAATTTTTTTTCAATTTTCCTAAAGAATTATCCACCCCCCTTGCTTAGCCTTATCCTCCCCCCCCCCTTAACTGACCCTATGGGGAATTCTAAATAAATCATGTTAATGTTTCATTGTTCAGAAACATGAAATAGTTTTCCTCCAAGGAAGAGAAAATATTTCCTTTCTTAAAATATATCCTTAATTCATTTATTTTATATGATACAGAACCAAGGGAACAACTAGAAAGGGTCAAAAACAGCTTTTTTTATTAATGTAATTGAGTCTTTGCCACAAACATATGTTTTTGTATCCCTATATCCTTGCAACCTGATAATGTAAACCTTTGATATTTCAAACTTTGAATATTTAATCTAACAGGGTTCATAGTTTGAAATATCTAATGTCTATGACATCAAGTTCCAGAGATATAGGGAATTGAAAATCAGAGTTTGTGACGAAGACTCAATTCCTTTGTGATTTATTTTACATTTTTTTCTTCAATTTAGACAGTGTTTAGTCGCCCTCCCCTCCCTAGAATAAAGTAACTAAATGTGTGCCCCCCCCAGGACAGACTCATGCCTATGCTACGGGCCTGATTGCTCAATCTTATCTAAAAAAAAACTCTAGCAAAAACTAAAATCAAATTAAAGCTCAAATAGCAAATAGTAAAAACTTAATATAATTTTGTTAACTTATTGATACATGTTTAAATCTTAAAATTAAAAATTTAGCTTTAACGTACTTCAACAGGTATTGTTTGGACATTTTTTTTATTTTCTTATTGGGATTTTAACCAAATATGTCTTCTCTTTTAGTTAAGATATTAAACATGGATTTCACAGTCTGAACCTTGCAGATAAAAAATATACCCGTAAAAAATTAAAGAATTTTTGGCATTTTGGCATTTTTATTCGATATGAAAGTTGCTGTTAAATTTATAAATTTATAACTAAAACCTTCTTCATAATAAATGGTACCTCTGCATATTATTCAAATATCCCTTTAATTGTCAGTTTCATAAACTGTTTGTAAATAAATGTAGATATTTGTAAAATCAAAATAATGCTTAACTTCTTGTAACAGATTGAATTAAATAGTAAATTTAAGGATTTGCAAATCCCAAAAGGTCAAGAACATTTTTATACAAGAAAAAGTTACGAAATTTTGATTATTTAAGTAAAAAAATCGAAATCGAAATTGAAATTAAAATCAAAACCGTAGAATTATCAATTAAATTTAATTGATAAAATGAAGATGAAATATCATTTAAAAATGTTTCAATATTAAATTTTTAAATCTATTTTGTAATATTTTCCTAAAAATATTGTGAAAAAATGTATTTTGTTTAAATGTAAATATTTAAAGAGTATACTTATTGTTGTTACATCACTCAAATGTATTTAATCAGAATTAAAAATGTTTGATTGCTTTTTAAAAGATTTAATAAATATTACTAAGTGTACCTTAGAAACCTTATTTTCACAAGAAAACATTTTGCAGTTCAGGGTGCAACTTATTGACAATTGACATACATAATAATTTGCTTAAGTATAAATAACGTGGTTTGGAAGTTCCTGTATACCAAGTCCATTAGCGCCTGACCCAATCAGGGTTCAGTCATGTGTTTGTTGTCTGCTCTGAACCAATAGAAATGGTATGGCGGAAACATCTATTTTTTAGTCTCATTATCCAATTAGAGATATGAATCCTACGATCGGCGTTAATTATGTCAAAGTCTACTACAGTCACCAAGAATGGGTTCACACCCTTTGCTAATGGTGAATGTCAAAGTCTACTACAGTCAACGATACTACAGTCAACGAGTATGGGTTCACACACTTTGCTAATGGTAGATGTTAAAGTCTACTACAGTCCACAAGAATGGGCTCACACCCTTTGCTAATGATATATGTCTAAGTCTGTTACAGTCGTCAAGAATGGGTTCACACCCATTGCTTATGGTGGATGTCAAAGTCTACTACAGACAACTAGAATGGGATCAACCCTTTGCTAATGCTAGATGTCTACTAGAGTCAACAAGAATGGGTTCACACCTTTTGGTAATGGCATATGTCAAAGTCTTCTACAGTCTTCAGGAATGGGTTAACACTCTTTGCTAATGGTGGATGTCAAAGTCAACTAGAGTCAACAAGAATGGGTTCACACCCTTTGCTAATTGTGGATGTCAAAGTCTACTACAGTCAACAAGAATGGGTTAACACCCTTTGCTAATGGTTGATGTAAAAGTCTACTGCAGTCAACAAGTATGGGTTCACACCCTTTGCTAAGGCTAAATGTCAAAGTCAACTACAGTCGTCATGAATGGGTTCACACCCTTTGCTAATAATGGATGTCAAAGTCTACAACAGTCAACAAGAATACATTGCTACTTTTGCTGGATCAATACGTATTTTTTAAGTTCGATGAATGAATTCCTAAAAATGTTTTAATTATTTGAGTGCTGACTAAGTATTTATTTGTAAATCTACAATGAATGTATATTTAGTAAATTTAGAGATAGTAAAATACTCAGTGACCTGTTTTTTGAACCTTTTGTCTCCCATAAAGTGTAGAGTTTTGTAAAATTTTTGTTCAAAATCTCTTAACGAAGTTATGATGATTTATTTTATTTGGTGTTTTTTTTTAATTCAAACTCAAACAAATTCAGAGGTTTAAAACTCAAAAAGCGGAGAAAATCTTTTCCCACCTCTCACCTGATACAACGTTGTCACTCAATCTTCCGTCAATAATCAATTATGTCATAAAATGTCCAATGCTACGAAGACGACATTTCTGGTACACTTACGCGCATGCGGCGTAAAACAGGCTCTTCCTCTGTATTGTAATTCAACATGGCATGCACGTAATTCCTTTGGGCGTCTGCCTCAGGGTTATTGTGAACTAAAAACCCCTAAATCTTGAAAATACGACCCCTTACTAGACAATCATGACAATAAATACATGATACGATTTCCAACTTGTTAGCCATTACTTGAGCATTGGTTCTTAGGTAATAGAAATTAGAAAAATAGGGGGGAATTTTAGAAAAGTAAGGATGTAAACATGTTTTATAACTTTTTGACAACAAATCAAATTTTTAGATTAATACAAACTATTTCACTTTGCCGATACAAAATCTTAGTATACATTGACACAACTTTTGTGTGTATGCTTTCTTGATCCCACTCTTTCATCTTGTAAATATTCAATACTTGAGGTAAAAAATAAGGAATAAATTTTTAATTGAAATCAAGAAGAAAATAATTAATTTTTCAGAAAATATTTTAAAAATTCATGTATGAAGTCATTAAACATTAATTTGACTATGGTGATCAAAAACAATTTTAAAATATCTAGAATTTTCAGTGTAGGTTATACAATACACTTTATATAGATACCAGGTTGGGAACCCAGCGTTTCCAAGGCTACTTATAGTTACTCCTGCGGCTTGCCGTTTACCCGCACTTGGTCGGGTCGTAAATTACTATTTCAGTTATATTTCCCGATAAAAGTCGACCCACTCAACTTAGAATCTCAAAACCAAGCTAAGAACATATCTTACTCAAAATTTGAGGCAAATTTTGTCCAGGGGTTCCTGACTTATGATCGGACAGACAAACAACAAACAGACATACAAACAGAGATTATAACTTTATAAATATACAAAGATATCAATCAAATAGAAATTAGCTTTTTTTTAAAGTTTGATTCAATTTCGTAGAAAAGAATATGATTGAAATTGAATTTGATCCAGAAAAAAACTTAATTGTACCTCGTACTGAGCGACAACCCGATTTTCGAAATAAAAATATTTAAAATTTTCCAAAAGCTGTAAAATGTAAAAAGCACGGAGGTAGGTCAAAACAGAAAAAAAACATAGAAAAATAGTAATATGGCTTAATACTCAGGATGTTGGTTTAAAAGTAGTTAAATATAATATTGAATATTCAATGAGAATTCGGAAATTTCAAATCCAAATTTGACAAATCGATTTAGAAACGATTAATCATATTTTCTCAAAAATATATATCTAAAGTTTCCTTAAAAATTTGTTACACCTGACCTTTGTATAGTATAGACTACCAAACAAGGTGTTATACAAAAAAGATGAGTTAGATCTGCCAAACTATGCGTGCATTTGGTTTGGCTATGCGATGATAATTAAATGACATGTTACACTATTCAACATTTATTTCAAAACAGATCATAAAACAAGATAATATTACTTGCAGTTATTAATCTCGATGTTGTTGGTGATGGAGAAGATTAGCATGTACATTGTACAAGTAGAGGACATGTATGAGTCCTCTATTGTACAGAGGCTTTTGCACAGAACCAGAGAACTTCCCAAGCCTGTGCTACAGTTTCAGCCGATTTACTAATTCTATAAAGAATATATTAGATGAATAATTTACATCTAAAATAAGAAAATATCTAAATTATCTAAACAATTCATTTGTAACAATACAGCATAACAATTCTCTGGACACTTGAATATGATTTATACCTGATAATTGTTTGGGTAACAGATCTTAACTGAGTGCGTGGAGCTGGGTTAATCAGATTGTGAACAGTGCAGTACACTGATAAACAACATAGTAAAAAGGGGCAACCAGTACCCACGGATCAATATTTACTGTAATTGTTGAAAAACAATAGAAAATTTTTTAACATATATCTGTGCGTTGGAAAAAATTCCACAGGTAATTATAGCTTCAGAGAAGTGCAAAAAAATCCACAATGCTCAGTGCCATTACCTGAAAGGAATATGAGATATTCAGATATTTGTTTGATGATGCAACATGACTAATGTCTATTGTATGTGAAAGATTCTTTCCTTTAACGAAAAAAATGTCTCCCATTAAATTTAATTTTCTTGTTTTGTCATCCCACTCCTCTACTGGTCCAGTCATCCCACTCCTCTACTGGTCCAGTCATCCCACTCCTCTACTGGTCCAGTCATCCCACTCCTCTACTGGTCCAGTCATCCCACTCCTCTACTGTTCCAGTCA